GGCTCAAATAGAATCCCTCATTCTGGTCCCAAGGGGTGTTTTCTATTCCCTAAGTTTCAACTCCCCAACTGGCCAAAGCAGTTCCTTCCCTTTAGTTATCTTGGAATACTTCCATTTATAGAGCTTCTAAGGTTAAAAAGTGGTGTTGTCTGTTTAAATGTTGGTAAGACGTAGCTGATTTCTTTTTGAATGTTCAGTATTGAGCTATAGAATGAAATGTGCAGTAGTCCCATGTTCATCTGGGGGGGGGTGTCTCACTGTAGCTTGATTCATGGGGCTTGGGGAAGGGATAGGAAAAGCTAAACAGTATTTAAGTTTTTGTGTTTTGTTTTTCCAAAGTACAGGGCTTTCTGGAACTGATTAGCACATGACACTTTTTTTTTTGAAAGCAGCCTCCTTTTTCCTTTTCAAGGATGTAGACATATATACTGTTTGTCCTATTGCCTGTGTAAAAGATATATTTCTGTGTTTACACATGCACAAAACCACTCCCAAATAAATATGAGTTCTCCCGATGATAGCCAGGTGTGCATACTTTTGTGTGAGTACATGGTATGGCCAAGGACAAGTCTCAACTCTGGTTTGAATGTGTCCCCACAAGGCTCACGTGTTAGAATGCCAGCTGCCAGTGTAGCAGCTGGATAGGTAGTGGGAATTCCCCCAGCAGCTGTAGTCATGGACTATTCAGCCTAACAGCTGATCTCATAGGAATGGGTGAGTTATCACAGGACAGGCTGTTATACAGTAAATTCAGCATCTCTAGCTTTCTCTCTAGCCTTGGGCACACTGTGACTCAGCACAAAGGTCCTCATTAAGTGCTGGCACCAGGTTCTTGGACTGCCCAGTCTGCAGACCATAAGCCATAAGAAACTCTGTGACTCACCAGTCTGTGATAGTCTATTATATAGCAGGAAATAAATTGAGACAGTGATCTATTGGGTCTGGAGGAGAATTCCTGTAACACGTAAAATCAAGACCCAGAGACTGATATTGGGGTTCAGACTTCAAGTTGAAGAACAGAAAACCAAAGGAGTGGGCCACTGGCTCTCACTACTACCTCAGACTGAATGGGCTGACCCTGTTGTCTCTCCTCAGCATGGCTGGAGAATGTATGCCTGATACTGACCATGTTCCTGTCTTACATACCTCTCATGAGTCCTGGGATTAAAGGTGTGAGTTCCAATTCTCTTTTAGACTCAAATGTATCCCTGAGTAGAGACCCATCTACCTCTTACTCCTGAGTCCTAGGATTAAAGGTGTGTGCCACCACCTCCTAGCTTCTGGTTGCTGGGATTAAACATGTATGTGGCTTCTATGGCTTGTGGCTTTCTGGATCCTCAGGCAAGCCTTAATAAATGATAAACAATATGTCAGTACAAATTCCTTCGTCTTCACAGAGTGAGCCTGTCTGCCACTTCCTGCCTCCATCCATAACTATTGGTGATTTTGTCTGTGCTGCTAGGCTTGGCCTTTCCTGCTTTCCCGCACATAAGCTCTCTACTTGTCTTGCCACTTGGAGATTTCTCTAAACAGACCACACAAGCACCCAAGAATTGCTTTTACTGCTGCACTCTTAGAGTTTTATATTACTATCGAGGCTGTTAACATAGTCCCCATGCAATCTGGGCATCTGACATGATGAACATCATTGACATTCACAAGTCAGTCTGTCTCTGTTCCCATCAACCGAGAGCAATACTAGGTAGCTAACTTCTTTGTTGTTTATATCTGAACTATTGTTCAAGAACATTCTCCATATGCCTATATTGCCATTTACATATAGTTTCTGATATTTCGTAATCGGACCTCTAACTTTCTTTATTCCCACAAAACTAAACTCCACTAACTCCCAGACTTCTGTGCCTAGGAAATTTCTCAAGGAGCTTGCTAAAAATACAGAGCCCTAGGCAGCAAAGAAAGCAGGTTGCCATCCAAATACTTCTGATGTAAATGTCCTCTAGACACTGAATATGAAGGAGGGGGGATGTGCTGTCGAGTGGTGAAAGTAGAAGCCCCCGGGCTCTGTAGACCCACACAGCAAAGTGCCAGACACAGATGGCTTTTTCAGCAGAGCCATTCAGGAAGCTGATGTAGTGGAAGGACCCAGTCTCATTATTAGGTCCCTTGCAGCCTTTTGGGTTATAGCCACCTTTTAAAATATAGCTTGCAGTTGTGGTGGGAACCAACGTGCCTTGTGTATGTAGTCTGCAAGTAGCTGAGCTTCTCCTGAGAGAGGCCAAGCTGGGCCAGAGCCTAAGAGGCCGTCATGGTCCATTTTCTCTAAACAAACAAACAGACAGACAAAAAAAGATTTATTTTTCTTTATGTGGGCGTTTACCTGAATGTATGTGCACTTTGTGCATGCGAGGTGCCCACCAAGGCTGTAAGAGTGTCCTGTCTCTTCTGGAACTGGAGGTGCCAACAGCCCTAAGGTGCCCGGTGAGTGCTGGGCAACAGACTGGAGTCCTCTGCAGGGAAGAACATTTCATTGGCCCTGTATTTCTTCTTTTAAGAACTCTGCTCTTCTCAGTGCCTCCCTCTGTCTCTGGAGTTTGTGAAGAGTGCATGCTCTGGGAGGATTTTAAAAGCTGCTAATGGGTGGCAGTTTTGGCCTTTTCTCTATGTTGGTGTCCTTTTCTGCTGTATTGTATGTTGAAAAACTGCTTTGTTTTCACAGTCTCTTGAATTTATTATTATCTTATTTCCAGCAGGCAGTAGAGAGGGGGAGGGATCTGTGTCTAAGCTGAGGCATTTATCCTGCCAGTAGGGTCCTACCAGGCTGCACATCAAAGAGATGGAGGTGTTGTGAAGGGAGGGTTCCCTTATACAGAATTCAGTCAGGACAGGCTTCCTGTGTTTTTTCTTTCTTGGTTTGTCTATTTCTTGGAGGAACTCTGAGTGCTTTGGAGTCAATGCTTGTTGGCGCTTGATCCATCCAGCGGGAGCAACTGCCTCTAGGGCCTGGGATATTTTGTTTTTGAAATGAATGAGCAGGAGAAAGCCAACAAGAGTGGCTTCTGGGAGGGGGAAAAGGAAAAAAAAATCTCCCTCCCGGGAACACACACACAGCAGACCCTAAAGGGAGACAGGGAAGCAGGAAGAAAAAGACAAATTCCCAGGTGGTTTCTGTTGGCTGTGCAATGCTAGCCTTACTCTCTGCCCTAAGTGCGGAAATACTCAGGAATTCTGCATGTCTCGTCAATACTATTTTTAATGGGAAGTTTTTTCTCTCAGGGATCTCCTAGGGGAAAATAGCAGTGCAGCAGCTTGCTGAGCTCTACATATGTGCTTCAAATTTCATTATCTGTTAACAACAAACACGTCATAAATCATCATTGTTTACTGCCTGTGTGCACATTTCCCATTATAACACACAGACAGACTCTCTCTCTCTCTCTCTCTCTCTCTCTCTCTCTCTCTGATGGTAAAATACAAATGCATTTTAATTTTTTTTCCAGTTTACAGTAGCTCCCCACTCTCCACTGCTGTGAACTGAACCCAGGCCCTTACTACTCTTGTGAAGGGTTCTGCCATTGAACCCTGACACAGTCCTGTAGTAGATTTACATTTTTTCTTTTTTCCTATTGTACTATAATTACATCATTTCTCCCTTCTCTTTCCTCCTTCCAAACCCTGCCATGTACCCCTCCCTACTCCTTATTCACTGATTGTTTTTGCATGCATGCATGTATCTGTAGTCTATGTTTATCTACCTATTCCTAAATGCAACCTGTTCAGTCTGAATAATGTCACATGTGTATATGTTTTTAGAGCAGCACTTCTCAGTTGGCCAAGGCTCTTTGTGTAGGGCCAAGGCCTTGTGTGCCTTCCCCCATGTGGTTTGGCAATCCATTGCTGCCCTCCTTGTTCAGCTCATATTCCAGCAGTCATGTTGGTGAGGCTTTATGGGTGTAGTTTCTGGTGTTACCAAGAGATACCATCTCACAGCAAAGTCCCTGCTCCTCTGGCTCTCACAATTCTCCCACCTCTCTTCTGGTATGTTCCTGAAGCCTTAGGTGTGGGAGTGTTTTGTAGATGTATCCATTGGGACTGGGCTCCACAAGTCTGCATTTTGATTGGCTGTGGTTTTCTATAGTGGTCCCTGTCTGTCATAAAGAGAAATTTCCTTGATGAGGGGTAAAGACTACATTTATCTTCACAGTAGACTTTGACCATGGATTTTACTTGTCACCTATGGTTTGACTTGAACATATATATATATATATATATATATATATATATATATATTTTTTTTTTTTTTTTTTTTTTTTTTTTTAAACTTAAAAATGGTTTCTCACCAGACCAACAACTCACTGCAATAAACATTTTCAGGTAAAGCTGAGTGGACAAAAGGATATGCTGTGTGACACAGTGCAGTCCCCAGTGCCACTACAACAAATGGATATGTGATAGAGAGGTGGCCAAGATGGAGGAGTGAAGTGATTTTTAAAAAATTGTATTTCTATATTTTAAAAAGTTTTTGTGGGGCTACAAGAGAAGAGGGCAGACAGGTAGATTGGGAAATGTGTAGGGTTGGGGTGCATGATGTAAAATTCCCAAAGAATCAATAAAAATTAAAAGAAAAATGGTAAATGCTTCCTCTTTTTTTAAATTTTTTATTGTTTTATTTTTATTTTTATTTATTTATTTGTTTGTTTGTTTGGCCAGGCTGGCCTAGAACTCACAAAGATCTTTGATCTTTTACTTGCTGAGATTAAAGGTATGTGTGCCACCACTGACTGGTTCCTCATTCTTAAATAGGGTAGAAGCCATAAATATAAGCATTGGAACTATCTTTGGATTTGTAAAAAATTTTTCTTACACAACACAAAACATAGCATCCACTTCTGTTGTGTCTACTGTGTCATTTATAGGAGCTTTTAAACAGAGGCAAGGTGTTCTGAATTTTGGTTTGACTGTAGCAGCATGTGGACATAGGAAATACAAGAGCTACCTGAGAGAAACAGCATTGACTCAGCTCCTTCTTCTGTTCTTACCAGGCACTGTTGTGTGGTTTACTTGTGACATGCCCTGAGGATCCACTGAGGTATTTAGAGCAAATGATCACAATTATCATTCAAAATGGCCTGGAAAACCTTCTTTGGTAAGTGTTGTTTTGATGTATGATAGGGGAATATTTTGAAGGCTAAGAACTTCAAATAGTATCACGATAAGGTCTTGCCAATGAATGTTTCAAATCAGGGCCTTGTTGAAGAATCCCTGCCCCATAGACTGTTAGGTCCCCAAGATTTAATGTGAACAATATGCTCACTGACTGTCTCACTGGAGAATGCAGTGAGCTCCTATCTGTGTTCCTAGGACAGAGTGTTTCAGGTGAGGACGATGAAAGGTGAACTCAACAAATTCTGGTGATTTTGACCTATCTCCTCGGGAAAAATATCTGCCCCCCCCACACCTGCCTCCTCAGGAGAAATACCTTCCCACCCTCACTCCACTCCCCCACATGAGAATCAGTGACCCATTTGAAGAATTACTTTGACTGGAATTAATCTTGACCTTGTCTTCTAATTTTATTAAAGGGACATGTGCATTGATCCATCACTGAAACCAAAAATTCGAAGACTTTCTGAAACTTACTTGGAACAACTTTTTGGACTGGATGACCAGCTGGTAATTAATCAAGCACTTTGGAACACATCTTAAGTTCTGATGGAAATACTGGGGATAGGGGTATGAGGTCAGAATTTGAATTGAGGCCACGTAGGAAATTGAGAGGATAATCCACACAGCCAAACAGGTCCCCAATTTTAAGGAATGGTCAGACATGTTCCGACTGTCTGCTGTTCATTTTCCCACTCTTCCTCTCATGGACAGAAATGACATTGTGAAATCTGGGTTTAATAGCACACCCTGTAATCCAAACACTCAGGAGGCTGAGGCAGGGGGACAGAGAGACTGAAGGGCATCTTGGGTTACTTGGTAAGATCCTCTCCCAAAAACAAAGCAAAAGCCTTAGAGAACTCTTTGAAGCAGGGTATCTCTTTCCTTCTTAGTTACTTTGTTTGGTGTTCTGTCCCCTGCTGTCTGCTGGCAGCCCCAATGGATGAGGATTAAGGGTAAAAAAAAAAATTGTTAATGTGATTGAACTTGAAAGCCAGACCTGGTTGTCCCTGAAAGGAGGGGCCTGCTCCAGTTGCTGCCTTTGATCTTCTAAAGAGAGCAAGGGAGTGATACAGGAAATGGAGATTTTTAGGACAGTGTTTGTGTGTGTGTGTGTGTGTGTGTGTGTGTGTGTGTGTGTGTGTGTTAGCAAAAAGTACATGGAGAGAGAAATGTAAACAAAAATTAGATATGCTTAGGACAGTGTATGACACTTGGTAATGCCAGGGATGTGACCTGTATAAAACTTGGGAGTGCTCAGTAAAGTTGTGCACTGAAAATTGCAATCAAAGTCATATTGGAAGTAGGGCTGTAGTTAGCCTTGATGCTAATCATTCTGCAACAGAGAAACAGATGTAGAGGACTGGGATGGTTTGCCCAAGTCTGGGATTACAGGGAGCCACTGGTACATGGGCTAGAACCAATGCATCTGATCAGAACTGATGTGTCTTACAGTGTGTAGGTTAAGTTACACTTCATCAACTACAGAACTTTGATCTACTGTAGAGTGCAGATATTGTAAGCTATGCTCTTGGAGATATTTGGGGACAAACTCAGGGATTAAAAGAGGGGTGCAGGGAACAGGATTCTGGGCCTTCCATTTCCATATTTTCTCTCTAGACTAAGTTTGCTTTCAATGTTATTTTGATTGAAACAAAACAAAACAAAACCCGTTGCCATAAACATGCTAACACATTTGTACACACTGATAGAGAGGGAGAGTAAACTTCATGGTGAGTATGTTGATAAGGATCATAGAATACATAAAATCAGGTTGCACCAGTGTCTGAAGAAGCCCCATGGAATCTTTAAACCATTCAACAACTAAATCAACAATTCAAACCCAAAGCTTTACTGGAAAATGGATTTGCTTTGGGATATTAAAGCACAGAGAATAAAATGATGGAAGCTGATTCAGACCTTGAGAGACTGTGGTAATTTGCCAAGAAATAGAACATGTACTATCTAAGTTGAAAAAAGGAGCTATGACATTTGACCTTGCAGCAACACTGAGGAAAATGTTTAAGCTTAGATATGAAAATGTGAATCTCAAGGTGCTCCAGGGTGCTTGAGAGAGAGCTCAGCTTAGGTTGGGTGCAGGTTTGTTCACTCCTTCATACTCAGAGGAAAAATAACAACATTAAAGAATGCAACATTAATCCTCAGTGTATTTGACATTTCAAATCATCATGTAGTAATATTAGCTTTATTTATTTATCTTTCCAAAAGCAAAAAAGTTTTTATTTTCTGATATATAAAACCAAAAAATTAATATATAATGACATAGTTTTTTTGAAGGAAGAAATAAAATGTAGAAGTAGAGTTCTATTTAGAAAAATACTCTCAGGCACCTGCTCAACACATGTATTTTCTTATTTGCAATATCTCACAAAGGTTAGATGAAGCCTTTAAGTTCCCTTGAATAAATTGATTCACAAACCGATTCACATCTGCCAAACAACTTAAGCATGGTAAGAAACCACTTTCCATCTTGGTAGCAAGCCCGGATAGACAATTTAATTGGGTGGCCCAAGATGAGAGACTCAACCTATGTGAGGAGGAAAGTAACCCCAGAGACTCAATTCCCATTTCTTAGAAGATAAAAATCTCCATATGTGCTTACTAATGACAAGAGATGCATACTTAGGAAACTTCTCATGATGGAAAGTTGAAACCTAACAGGAAAGTGAGAAAATATCACAGTTAATGCCATTATCCAGCCTGAATGAGTTCTTCCTTTGCCAGTCTTTTTAGTATATTTCCCTCTGTCCTCTGTGTCAGAGTATTGGAAGACCAGTATTATGATTTAATTTTAAAACCCTTCAGTGTGCATATCTGACAAGAAAAGATGGCTTTAGAGAACATAAATGCAACACCAGGTTAGCATGCATGGTGGCATCTTCCAAGGAGATTTCTAGTGGTGGTTTTCTTAAAGACAAACCAAGTCAGACATCCTTCAAACTACAAATTGCCATCCTAAGTGCTGGGGAAAATAAATTAAAAAGGACACTGAAGCAGGAAGGACACAGTTGCCTGTGTAACCTATCTCCTAACTTCAAGCAGCTCAGCATGTAGGGATACCACCCTACAAAAGACAGAGGCTAAAGTTCCTGCCTTAGACGTGACAGTCAGTACTAGGTCTACCTCAGTACAAGCCAGTGTTGGGCAAAACCAAAACCCCTAATGCCCAGCAGGTTCTTGCAGACAGGTAGGGTGATGAGTGCAACCATCCTCCCTCAACTCTCTGGAGAGGAGGACAAGAGAGCTAGCATAGGCCCTAAATTAGAGGTCAATGCCAAATCTACCATAGCAAGAACTAGCACCCCACAGATACTGGAGGCCCCATACCCAGGCCCTGCTTTCCTAGAGACTTGTGTGTTAATGGGCATTATGAGTGACAGTCCTCTGAGCTTCCTGAGGGAGTTCGGCTACACCTCCTTGCAAGAAAATCTCCTTAGCTGTGCTTGTAAGCTATTTACACCTCCCTTTATGGGTCAATGGGGGAGAGTCATGAGACCTTAGCTGAGTATCTACCTGCTGCTATGTCCTGTTATAAACCACTCTGCCGTAATTGCACATGGCTGGAGTATATAGGCTGGGGATGACACAAGGGGGTTCTATCTATGCAGCTATGAGGCTGTCCTTATCCCTGATGAGTAAAGGTTTTCTGGGTGCAGCATACTGGGGGGGGGGAAGAACACCCCTACTCCTGTAGGTGACTTGGTTCCTCAGTGTGAAATTTGGCAGTCTTGTGCCACACTCTGATGTTGGGACCTTAGGAAAAGGGCTAGATAGTATTTATATCTCCCCTGGGAATGGTTTTTAGTAACAGTGGGGCCAACTGTAGTTTGGCCCTTCACCATTTCCAGCCTTGGAATGAAGCTGGGGCATGTGCATCCTTCAGGGACTGAGAGGGTCTCTGAAGCTGTGAGACTAGGAAGGGATTATTCTTTCATCATCTTCTAACATCTGGTGGAACATTTGTTGCCAACCAGTGCCCATGAACTGGATGCAGTCTGGGTTTCAGAGGCAATGTACCCTTGGTTTGTAGGTGTGCTTTGGCTCACACTACTGATGGCTGCATCATGGCTTCAGCATTGAGCCCAGATCCCTGACTTTTCTGGGTATGGGACATGGTTGTAAAAACAACACTTTCCCCTGGAACTTAGTTCCAGGCTGGATGAACGGAACACTGAACAGATTCTTGTGGCTCTCATCACAAGGCCTTTCTATAGAGTGGCTTCTCTAATTGCTTTGGTGCTGGGGAAGAAAAGCCACCCAGCCTGTTGACTTCTGTACTGGCTAAAACCACTTTTGGATGGTTGCTGTAGCCCTGGCTTTGGATCACAAGTCTACCCAGAGCAGTGTAGGTCTTGCTTCCTCCCCAGTGTTGTGCAGTCTTGGCAGGCAGTGGGCTCAGGTAGTATGCTAGCTAGGTGTATGCCAATTTGACTCAAGCTAAATTCTTCTGAGAGGAAGGACTCTTAATGAAGAAAATGCCTTCATAAGATTGGGCTGTAGGCAAGCCTGTAGGGATTTTTCTTAATTAGTGATTGATGTGGGAAAGCCCAGCCCACTGTGGGTGATGCCATCCCTGGGCTGGTGGTCCTGGGTTCTATAAGAAAGCAGGTAAGGAAGCCATGAGGAGTGTCTTAGTCACTGTTCTATTGCTATGAAGCGACATCATGACCAAGGCAACTCTCATGAAAGAAATCATTTAATTAGGGCTTGCTTTATAGAGCCTGGTGGGAGCACCGTGGGATCATGGTGGAACTCTAGCATTGGAGCTAGAGCTGAGGGCTACATCCTCATCCACAGGCAGCAGGCAGAGAGAGATGCTGGGCCTGGTATATGCTTCTTGAAACCTCCAGTCCCACCCCCAGTGACACACTTCCCCACCTAATCCCTCTAATCCTTCCCAAAGAGTTCTACTCCTTGGTGACTAGGCATTCAAATATATAAGCCTATGGGAGCCATTCTCATTCAAAACCACCCCAAGGAGCAAGTCAGTAAGCAGCACTCCTCCATGGCCTGCCTCCAGGGTCCAGCCCTCTTTGAGTTCCTGTCCTGATTTCCTTCTATGATGGACTAAGATGTGGAAGTGTAAGCCAAACAAATCCTTTCCTCCCCAATTTGCTTGTGGTGATGGTGTTTTATCACAGAGATAGGAGCTCTGACTAAGGTTGTTGGTGACAGCTGCCTTTAGTGGCCTCAGGTACAACATAGGAGCCTCAGGCTAGGCTGTCCAGTTTCTTTTCCCAGAGCTGAACAGGATCCCGTGTCTGACCATCTGTTAACTATGGCATCCAGGCTACCTCAGCCCCAAGGAGAGGCTGTGGGGATAGACTGGGTACTCTTGACATACTCTCCTGGTTCGTTTTGAACAACACATCATTGTGTACTCAGTGTTCTGAGATTGGACTTCTCTTTAGTACTGGAACAGTTCTTGTCTTAGTTAGGGTTTTCTATTGCTGTGAAGAGATACCATGACCATGACAACTCTTAAGAAG